TCTCTCTCTCTCTGTCTCTCTATCTTTATCTCTCCAGAAAAACTTCAAGCCTCAAGAGAAATTCGTAGATCCAAACAGGAGACAAGTCATAGACGCACGTACAATTTAGGCCTTCAGGCTTGGGACCAGGGAATTATGCCGGTGTAGTTCCCTGCCCATTGTGATAGAAACGACGACCAGATCGACCGGGAGACCATTACACCCCGAGACCACCAGAAGACCACCCAAACAAACAACGGAAAACCACCAGGACACCACGGCCAAAATGCTTGCCCCCATGTGCTGGCGGGAATATACTGGAATACTTCCCCCATGTACTGCCAGGATTCGAGCCAAAAAGCCATGCCCTTTCCAGTACGTAATTAAGACAGAAAAGCACTGCTCACTGCACTGTTGGAGGTTCATAGATTCTACATTATCTGTAAAGTGTTCCCCAAAGAGTGTGCTGGACTCTGTTCGGGTCTCTAACGTGTTGGCTAGTGTTGCCGCGAGGCGCGGTTGTAGGGAGGTTCCCCGATATACGGCTCCCACTGGCGCGGTGCATAGTTTGTGTTCATCTCCCATTATTTGGACACGATCCCTGCCACCGCGTTCTCCGGAAAGTGCAATCAATGAAACACAAATTGAAACATATTGCTCAGCCCCTCAGTCCGGCCTGGGCGACGTCGATCACGCAAAGGACATCGCCAGCCTTGGATATACGAAGAGCGAACATGGGGGGGACTCTGATAGGGGTTTCAGTACCAAGGGTGTTGGATGGAGGCAGGGTTGATGTTTCAGTGCTCCCAGAGATCCGGAGGCAAAAACCGAGTTGGGGTTGTACCTCAGTCAGGGATTAAATCATATCAATACCAAGGCTCCTTTCTTGCGAAGTCAACACCCAGAGCTCAAAAAGCCTTCGATCCCATCGCTGGCCATGCCCTCTTCCAGCAATTAAAACTTAAAACAGAAAACTGCTCACTGCACTGCGTCCATGACCTTTAGCAACTAACAAGTGCGGAATACTTGAATCCAGACTCGTGAACTCCATAACTCCGTAGAACCATGTAAACTCATACATACCCTCACCCCAGAAACGACACTTGCAGCTTGCCCACGGCACGGCTGATGTGGGCAAGGCCCACTGTCTGGAGCTCCTTCGATTTGTTCGCTGTTTCACGGTAGTGAGTGCATTCAACTCTTGGGCCAGGGTCTGACAGAGGTGTCACGGACTTGGGTACTGGTGAACAGTGGCTCGCAATTCGTGGCAAGCTTTAGGAAATCTGCTCTGCTCAGTAACCTAGACCCAGTCTTCAAAACTTCGCAGGAAGTCTGTGCTAGGCCAATCGTTTGCACACAGGCAGAGCTTCGCGGCTTGCGAATGCTTGTAGCCGTGGTCCAGACTGTAGAACTCAGATCACCGCAAGCCTTTGCGAAGCCCCGAGCCGGCTCCGCATTTCTTCTTTTTGTTTTTCAACTTGGCCTCTTTTGAAGAGAAGGATTGGTGCGGCCCCCACAGCTCAACTTGAACCAGTAGCTTTACCCCGCTTCGATGCCTTCGACGTGGTCAACTCGCTGCGGAGTGCCTGCCACGCCCGTGGGCCCACACCTGGTCGCAAGTGGGGGCCCGTCGGGCTCCAGCGCACCCGTCGAATTTGTGAGAGTGCGGGAACTCTACAAGGACCCGGAATGTGGTCTTTAATTGCGGCAAGAACAAGAGGGAGGGAAACGAGGGAGGTGGTTACCTAGAGCGAGTCGGGCTTCGACACTGACCTTGTTGGAAGCGGGGTTCGGGAATGCCCAGCCCTACAGCCCGTTGAATGGCAGCCACAGCAGATGAGGGGGGGGACGTTCAACTTGATTTCACGGGATGTGGATGCGTTGTTGTTGTTGTTGTTGTTGTTGTTGCTGTTGCTGTTGCTGACGCTGAGCCCCCTGACCCTGAATTCAGAAGGTGAAACTCTTGAGGTGACAGACTCTTGGCTAGTTTCCGTGCTGTTGGTCTTCTTGCTCACTGAAAGGACCCTAGACGGCGTGCCAATGCTCGGTCTAGCCGGGCAGGGCGATAATTGCAACCGGCCCGAAATGCAGCCTCATCATCCCTGCATATATGCCTCGAGGGTTGTTGCACATTCGCTTGCAGTGATGGCATACCTTCCAGAGGTAGAGGGTCCTTTGCAACAAGCCCCCGTCGGAGAGCCTTAAGACTGCGAAGTGCAAGTTCGGAGCTTATGACTCCTAGACTCGCAGCCTGCAGCCCCGGTATTCTTCATCGCCATTAAACCCGAAACCCAACAGAAGAAAGTCCCATGTCCTCTACCGAAGCGAAATCCTGAGTCCCGTAAGTTCAAACTTGCCCAACAAAGGAACCTAGCCTGAAACCTATCTTTACGACAGATCACCCGGCCTTCGACGAAGCGGAGAGACCCTCCGTCAATCGCGCAGGCCCTGAATTCCAAAACGGATATGGGGTCCAATCTTTCGGGGTTCATAATACATTCATAGTGCCGCCAAGCATTCAGTGTGTGATCGTTGCTGCGATTTGTTCCTAGCTGTACGCTAGCCAACCTTGCTGGAAACTAAAGCCAATAGCATCGTCATTACCGTCTATACCCCTTAGCCCGCACTATCGAGCAGCCCCGCCCCAGCCAAGAGAAGGGCACGACGACCTGCAAGGCCAACCAAAACACCAAGTGCTGCCTTGCGCAAAGAGATGTCCAGGGCAGCAAAGCCCAACGCACACAATCACAAAACCCACACCCTGTTCAACCTTTCACACCACCCCCAAGCCTAAGAGGTCGCAACATCGAAGGACTCCCTAAGGCCCTACCCTCTTTACCCGCCGGGCCAGGGCAGCACCACCAGGGCGACCAAAACCAGCGCGGAAGCACCGGCCAAACGTCGCGCCCATTGCGAAGAGAGGAGATAGCGCTTCGGCACCTCCTCAGGGTGTAAGCTTCCTTCTTCAGGTCTCAGCATGCGGTTTCTGATTTCTTGCCGTGTTTCTTGTCGTGTCTAGATTATCGGCTTTACGTCGAGGCTTGTGCCGGTACATACAAGGAGCGAGGAAGTGCTCCAAACTCCATGTCCCAAACAGCCCTCAGCTCGAAACCTGGACCCTAAAGACACTGAGTCCGAACATGTAGATCTTGAGTCCGAAGCTCGACAACTGGCCGCATTCCTGGCAAGTCGTAACCTATCGTGGATCCCTTAGAACTTCTGTCCCAGCCATAACACCTTGACGGAAACGCTTGCTCGTCGACTCTCGTGGAAGCCACTGCAAAACCGGTCAAGCGCGCAGCGTTCGAGTTCTGCTCCAACTGCGTTTCTTTAATAAAAGTTGTATAAGTTGAGAGGCCCAACCCGGCCTTGAGGACGTCCTACCAAGGCCCTCAAAAAACAGAGGCTTGTCCTCTACAGAAAGCCGTCTGGTTCGAAATGGTTCAACAACGCTTGGCAAGGCCTCTGGGGCAGCTTCGTTTGCTGGATCGGTGCCTTCCTGAACGAGTTTTTCTGGGCCCCGCCCAGCCTCCAAAAACCCTCGACTAAAAGTTTGCGGACGCCTCGCAGTCGGCTGGAGGCAAGTCGACCAAGGCGCTTCTTTCAGTGCCAGGGTCCTTCTCACGCGGAGCAGCTCTTGCCGAAGGGATTCTCGGGCTATTGCATGCCCTGTGGGTTTACCGGGCTGAAGAAAATCAGGGGCTGGTTTGCCTCCGCACTCAAACTACACTGCGCACTGCGAGAACTCCGCGACACCTAAAGCCTTAAGCTCAATCGGCATGGTCCGAACACTGTAAACAACAACTCTAAAATAGGTCCTCCACCTCCATTGACGCCACTGAAGCCACGTGCGGAGGTGGCTAAGGGCATCTGAAAGCCCCAAACATTGCGGGATGAACCGCTGGAGCCCTTTCTGCAAACCCATAAGGCCAGTAAACAAAAATTCTACTCAATAACGGCAAGAGCAGAGTGATGTTTAGCTTCGAGCGATATAACAACATCCCGAGAGCCCAGCATAGCCCAGCCCAGATCGGTGTACGTACAAGTCCCAATGCTTAGCACTGTCCAGGGTCCAGATGCAGGGCAGACGAATAATTGGATCTAGGTCTATAGCACGTTAGGGGCTATGCGATGTGATGCCAGGTTCCAGCTTGGAACGGCGCTGAGCATGCAAGGATTCTTCCACTTTGCTAACACTAGGCCCGGAAAATATCGCTATTTGATCTTCAGACTTGTCCCAATCTACTTTGTGCTAGACTCTCCAAGCACAACATATACTCTCGGGGTTTGCAGTGAGGTTGGGCTTAACCTGGACCTACAGTCCCTTTTGCGATCAATCCGAGGTGCACGGCACAGCCATCGAGATCACGGCCGAAGCCTCACCGTGCAAAAAGCTCAAGGGCCCTGAAGCTCCCAAGCATTGCCAGAGATTACAAAACGAAGCCTCGCCCCCCTAAGCAAGTCCCAGACTCCAAGTCTACTTGAAGGTCATGGGCCTGTATCAAGAACCCTGTTGAGGAGGGTGCATGAAGCGGGGCCTTATCGACGAGCGATGAGCAAATCTACAATTCACCTCGGGCTTCGAAGCTGCAACATCTTATTCTCGTATCAGGAACAGGTTGCTTGTTTTCCACGTGTTTCCGTGCAAGCCGAAGCTGGAGAACGTAAAACTGAGGGGTTGGATCGGAATTGAAGGATCCAGAGCGTGAGTGTGAGGCCATGGACAGAAGCTGCCCGATGGCAACGACGGAACTTAATTGTCAACTGTAGCGGTCAGTTTCCGCTGAGACAGAGCAACGAGCTAGGTCAAGCCGTGCGACAGTGACGGTAAACAAACACGATCAACACAACCGTTGAGCTGGCAAGGACAATGCGAATGGACACAGCCTGTCCCTCAACCCAGCCCGACCTGGCAATCCAAGTGGCACTCAACGAGCTGTGTTGCCCAAAGGTGCTCAGGACGGATATTTCCTTAGCAGTCGCCAGAACGGAGGAGATCGAACGTGTGGGAAATGTGCAATATACCGTGCGCTCGGCGTCAGGAGTTAGCTGTTGAGTGTTGGTTCTAGCACTGCGTTGGCTGCGAATGTAAGCCTTAAGCTTTCATCAAGCTCGTCTTTGGACGCTCACTCGGAGGAATCGCATGGGCGGCACATGTCTGTAAATTGCTGCAGCAACTACCGACTGTCACCTCGCAGTGGAGCATCGTATCTGTTCAAGGTACTGCAAGTTTCATCTGTGGTTCTGGCACCGCTCCTGTGTAACATTTCACATTGTTGGCTTGGGCTGACCTTTCTGTCGACCCATCCTCCCACACCTTCGACTGCTAGGGCCGACAACCTAAACCCTTCGTCTTTCGGGGCTAGACACATGGCGGCGAGGCCGACATCACCAGTGGGTTGCAGCGCCACAAACGGGCAGGATGGCCTGGCGTCAAAGAACGCTCTTGCATGTAGGAGTTCTGCAAATTAATGGCAGCACCGGAAAACCCTAAACTGCAGGCTCACTTTTCACACATCCAGGGCGCCCAGCCTCCAGCGGCTGCGGCGATCACAGCTCCAAGAAACACGAGACGCACGCTTACATTTGGTGTGCTTTCACACGAACCCCCTCTGGAGAAATGTAAGGGTGCATTTCGTCAAGGCAAGCCAGCTTTCAGGGCTTTTGCCTTGCTACGCCAAGCTGACCGTTTAGCTGCAGCAGCGCGCCGCAGAGCCTGTGCCACCTCGGTGTCCACGAGCGACCAGGAGCCCTCTTGCATCACCCGAGTAAGAACTTGGTTGTGAGACCACTTTGTCAAGCCATCTCCTGGCATTTCTGAACCCGGCACCCATCGAATGAAGTTCGTGGCATCCGGCTCCAGCAGCCCTTGACGGAGGACCCCGACATCGATGGCTATCTTCCGGTCAGACGGCAGCACCTCCGAAGAGATAGCGTCGTAGCCAGTCTTGGCATCTGTCACCAGGAGGTGCCTCCACTTGGAGGCTGACAGCTTCCACCGGTCTATCTTGAAGTTGGCATCCAGCAACTCAGCCAGCACTGCTCGCACATAGTCGCCATGTTCGAAGGCGGTTGCCAAGGAGCTCACTTCCGCCGACATAGAGCACCGCACCACTCGCTGTATCTTCGTGCTGGCTGCCTCCACGATGCAAACGGGCCCCTCGCCAACGAGCACCCGCGGGTCCGCCAGCATCACCATGGTGCCTCCCTGACTTCCGCCGTTGGGCATCGCACCGTAGGCTGCGTCACTAACTGAGATCACCAAGAGCTCGGACAAGTCGCAGTCAAACTTGCGGATGACCTGCACCACATCTTCGCGGGCTCGGCGAACTGTAGAGTTCACCCAGCGCAAAGCCTCGGCCTTGCCTTGGCCTGCCAGCTGTTGCACCAAGGATGCAGCAAAGGCCAAGTCGTATCGCCCTTGACGTGCAGCCCAGTTCAGCTGTCCCACGATGGACCCGATGAGTCGCCTCTCTTCGGCTGTCAGTTCAGACTCCTCATCGGCACCCGTGACTTTCTCGTGGAGATATTCAATGACCCCTTTGTCTGACCCCTCAACAGCTGAACTTATCATTGATGCACCCCCAGAAGTTGACGTAGAAGTCGGCTCTGAACCCGACGTTGAAGGCCCCCCAGAAGTTGACGTAGAAGTCGGCTCTGAACCCGAAGTTGAAGACCCCCGTGAAGTTGACGTCGAAGACAGGCCTGAACCCGACAACGTGGGTTCGGTGGGACCTGCAGGAGACGGACGGCCCTTCACCATCGGGATGGTTTTGATATACTCTTGCATGCTAATCTGCATCCCATGACCATCCCCATCTTGTCGTTCCCAACGGCCACAGAATTTCTGCCATCCATCCGTGGCTTTCCGCATCTTGCCAAACTTGAGCCGTTGGTGTAGGAGGTCCCAAAGCACTGCGCTGGTGGAGTCTCCCGCGTAGCGCGTGTCGTCCACATGTATAGAGGCCATTGCCCTCAAACTGCCATCCGCGTGGAAGGCCCGAAACAGTCCTGGCACCAAAGTGAGCTCGCCCAGGCCAATGTCCTCGATGGTGTCCTTGTACTCCAAGTACCACAGCCGTGGGCTCTCAGGGAGGCCGAAGCCGGCCTTCGTCAATTCCACCACATCATCACGTAGATCACCCCCGCCCAGGCCTTCCACCAAGTAGTCCAACACCTCTTGAGGATAGCCATGGGGAACTCGAACAAACACCTTCTCAGCCCTTGGAAGATCCTTCCCTTGGAGAAAGGCCGAGGAGACATCCTCGTAGTGCACGGTCCAGCCCAACTGCACCGCCACGAAGTTCAGGAGGTTGTGCGCCAAGGTACTCGCCGTCGGCGCGCTCGTAGCATAGAGGCCGGCATCCGGATCCTTGTGTCCACCGAAGATCCATCTCGCCTTGAGCTCCGCCGCCGAGAGCTCCTCCTCACCCTTGTTGGTGAGTACAAAGCGCGACGACAACACCCGTTTTGGGTCGAGCACCTTGCCGGTCGGAACGCCACGGATCCCGTTGTGCTCCAGGTACACGCCCACCGCCTTCTTGAGTGCCGGCACAAAAGCGGCCTTCCAACTGTCATCGAGGTCCTTCCACCGGTACTCGATCCGAGCCTTCCCAGTCTTCACCTCGGTGACACCTTCTTCCAAGGCCCCCTCCTCCTCGTGCTGCATACGAACCGAGACTTCCTGCAGACCAGCGACGCCGGCACTCTTGGACGGGGCACTCCACAGTGTCCAGTGACCCAGTGTGTCACTCAGCAGTGCCTCATACTCGCCTGGGCGCAGCCATCGGCCCACATCCACGTCATCTTCCACCAGCATCACGCCGCTGGCATGTCGGCCAGCTTCTGCACGAGTGCCCGCCTTGCCGCCGCCACGTGTGCGGCCCCCTGGCTTGGGCTTCAAGGCCTTCTTCACTTCCTTGAACTTGCTGTAGATGCTGGTCAGGTGGTCCCTGATTTGCGCCTCTTCCAGGACACTCGGAGGCTCCAGACTCTGAGCCAGCTTCTCGAAGACCTTCTGCTTCTTGGCGAAGTCCCATGCATGCGGGTCGTCCAGCGCCGCCTGCTCGGACTTTCGGCGATCCGCCCAGTTTCGCATGGCCATCGGGACATCGTCTAAAAGCTTGGCCCGGCGCTCTTGCTCCTCCGCCTGCGGATCCGCCGAGGGCCGTGCCGCTTCCCCACCATCCGTATCCGACGTATCCGAAGAGGAAGAGGAATCTCCGGCTCCGGTCGGCTTGCCTTGACGAGGGGGTGCTGCATCTTTCGGCGGTTCGTCCCCGGCATCGACAAGCATCTGGCCACCCTGCAACTCAGTCTCCACCTCCTTCAGCGCCTCGTTGACAAACTGGGCGCTTGCGACCTCGTCCAAAGTTGCCAGCCGGATCTTCTCCAGGGGGAACGCCTTGACCCTGCCCCGCAGCCTCACCCAGACCCGTTGAGGAACTGGCGTGTCCCTCTCCACGCAGACAATCACCCCGGGACCACTCCAGGAAGAGTGATCCTGCAATCGACGGGCTTGCCCCCGACGGCTCACGGGCGGATCATAAACATACACCACCGCCCCTTCTCGGATGCCTTCCAAGGTGGGTGGCCGGGATCGCGAAGTCAGGGCCTTCCGCAGCGCCGTGTGAGCATCCAGCCAGTGAAAGGCCTCAATGGCCCCATGTCGTATCCGATCTGCTCGCTGCAGAGCCTCGTTGGTCTCCATCGCCTGGTTGTACTGGTACCGCATCTGGCCCGTGCTTATCTGCTGCATCAAGGAACCGGGGATGGTGGTGCTCCGGCCCGTCACGGCTTGCATGGGCGACACTCCACCCTTGTTGATCGTCCTGTTCTTCGCCGCAAAAGCGGCCAAGCAAGCCTGCCTCATAGGAACCATCCCCACCAAGCTCATGGCCGTCACCATTCGCATCATCATCAACTTCACAATGGCCCCGTGTCTCTCTGCCAGCCCCATCCGCCACTTAGCACCCTCCGGCACTGTCTCGTGAACGAAGCCAAAGAGCGAGGCCACCGTCTCCACCTCCCCGCAGAACTCCGGCCCGCCGTCGGTGACCA